ACCAAGTCAATTTTGGATCCAATTTGCCAAGATGCTCTAGATCCCATGGTCTCTTACCTTCTTGACCAGTTTCCCCACGTGACACCTTGTCAAATGCCACACTGAAGTCCATGTAGACTCCATTTACAATCCTTAGCCACACATCTAGTCACCTCCTTGAAAAGCTCAATCAACCTATTAGACATAACCTCCTCCTGACCAAGCTGCACTGACAATCCTTGATCAGTCCTTACCTGTCCAAATGGAGATGAATTCTGTTCCTCAGAATTTTTTCCCATAGTTTCTCTACCCCTAATGATGTTAGCTTACTAGCCTATTGTTCCCTAGTTTATCTCTTCCACCCGTCTTGAATATTGTTACCATGTTAGCTGTCCTCTAATCTTCAGACACTCTCTCCTGTATTGAGTGAAGATTTGAAAATTAACATCTGGTCCCCTGAAATCTCTTCTCTTACCTTCCAGAGCAGCTTGGGATACAATTCAAATTGATCTAGTGGCATATCCAATTTTATGCCCATTACATCCCATCCCTCCCAATTATAAATTTGTTCAAATATATCACATTTCTCTTCCCAGGCTTAACTACCTACATCACTCTTCTCTATTGTGAATAGAAGTGTAAAGTACTGTTTTAAAACCTCACCTATATCTTCCGGATCCACCCACAGTTTGCCACTTGGGTCCTAATAGGCCCTATTCTTTCTCTGGTTAATTTCTTACTTATACTCTACTTATGAACTGTAACGTACTTATACAGTAAATTTGGATTTTCATTTATTTTAACCACCAGTTTTTTTTCATGCTCCCTCTTCATTTTCCTTTCTTTTCAGTAACCCCCTGCACTTTCAATATGCCTTCAGGACTCCTGGTCTCCTGCGCCCTCATTATCTATATTGCTTTGCTTAATAATGATCCTTTATAATTTTTCCACCACTTATTATGTAAACCATAGCCTATTTTTCCCTTCTCAAAAGCATTACCTCACATTTGTACAGACTGAACTCCATTTGCCACATTTTTGCTTACTTGACCAGTCCACTGCTTTTCCTACACAATCAACTCTACCATCTGAAAATTTCTTCATCAGGTCTCCTACATAGATGTCTAAATCATTTTTACATATACCACAATAAACAATGGATCTAGTACTGAAACTTGTGGAACGACACAGGAAGCAGTCTTCCAGTCAAGAATCACCAATTAATCATTATTCTTTGCTTTCTGCTCCAGGACCAATTTTTGATCCAACCTTTCTCATTCTCTTGAATCTCATGGACATCTCAAGTGAATTTCCCTTTTTATTCCTCTTCCATCATATTTCTTCTGGTTATGTATAATTTCCACTTGTCCATAGGAGAAAACTGTCATTTTCTACATTACAACACTTCAAAATACTTCACTCATTTATAAAGCACTTTTGGAAAGCCTGAAGCCACGGAAGTCTCCATATAAATGCAAATTTTACTTTTCTTATATCTATTACGTTTGGTGAAGAATCTTCCTCAATATTTCTGATTCTACCACAATTATAAACATCAAGCTAAACAATTCCATCTGATTGTCTGTTTTCTAAACATTATGTCTTGATTCTTTATTATTTATAATCATTAAATTCAAAAATTGTGTCAGGAAATGTGTTTGCCATTTTCCTTCAGTTTATATAATATAATTTCATCTTGCAGTGTAATGACCAAATTGCCATTATGGTCTCTATTTACTACAGGGAAGTTATCCAGGCACTTCAGTTCATCAAGAAATGAGAAATTGACATGATTAGAGATGATTTCTCATAGTTACAAGCACATTTAAAACTCCAACAAAGCATCCGAAATGTGCATGCACACTTGTGAGTTAAAATGTGCCAAATACCGTGTTGATGAGGCAGTTAGTACATGTGGAGTAAATGTCCACTGAATGTCTGCAAAGTAGTCAGATCATGACATCATCAGTGGCTTGACATCAACACGTAGTTTGGAGTTCAATATCCCTCTCAACCTCACACACTCAACATTTGTTCAGAAATGGAGAAGACCATCCCACACGCCCAGGCCTCTGCCCACTTCTGTACTCCGTAACGTACACTATTTAAAAGGACAGCTGACTAGTGCAGATTAGTTGCCAGTTGATTTTGTCTTGCTTTTGCTATGATTCTACAAGAGTTTGGTGCTTTCTACAGTTACTTAAGTAATAAAGACATAAAGTAAGTGATGAAGCAGATTTTAAAGGAACTTCTGCTGACTTTGTGTCTTCTACATAAACTATCTGCTCCCAGTTGCTATATGCAATAGTAAGCATTTCACATGGAATGCAGCATGACTTAGAGAATAAGCAGAGGCCTGCAGTGGAAAACAGGATGAGTGGAGAAGATCACTCAGCTGGAGGACCTACCTGTATGGAATGTTCAGGGAGCAATTTTCCTGCTGAGGGATTTTGACCCATTGACAATGAAGGAGCAGTGATATAGTTCCAATTCAGAATAATGAGTGGCTTGGAGAAAACTTGAAGGTGGTGGTATTCCCATGCATCTGCTGCCTTTGTCCTTCTAGGTGCTGGAAGTTGCAGCTTTGGAAGATGCTGTCGAAAAGACTTCAGTGAGTAGTTGCAGTAGTTGTAGATTGTACAATCTGCTGCCACTATGATTGGCGTTGATGGAGTGATTTTTAAGATGTGCATGGGGTGCCCAGCAAATGTTCTATTTTGTACTGGATGTGAAGCTTTGTGAAAGTGTTGTTGGAGCTGTTCTCCGTTTGGGCAAATAGAAAGTACTCCAGCTTGCTCCTGTCATGTGACTTGTAGATGGTGAACAGGCAATGTGTATGGTTGAAGAACCTCGAGCCTCTGATCTTCCCTTGCAGCTATGTACTTATATATGAATATTGATGGGACTCATTCAGTGATGGCAGGGCAATTGAATGTCAAGGGGGCAGTGTTAGATTCCCTCTCATTAGAAATCGTCGTTGCCTGGCACTTGTGGAACACAAATTATCCTTGTAATTTATCAGCCAAAGACTGAATATTATCTAGGCCTTGCTGCACTGGGACATGGACTGCTTCAGTACCTGAGGAGTCACAAACGTTGCTGAACACAGGTCCCTGATGATTTTACATTGGTGAACACCTCCACTTCTGACCTTATGATAAAGGGAAGGTCATTAATGACATAATCAGACCCAGGACACTATCCGGAGGAATTCCTGTAGAGGCGCCCTTTGGCTTAGATGTTAGTCTACCAACAACCGCACCCACCTTTGTTAGTGCTAGGTATGACCAACCAATGAAGAGATTTCCCCAAATTCCCATTGTTTTCCATTTTCAAGGGCTCCTTGATGCCACGTTGTTGATAGCGGCCTCAATATCAAGAACAATCATTATCACAATATCTCTGCAGTTCAGTTCTGTGTTTTAATAAAAGTTGTTCTGAGGTCATGAGCCAAGTGCCCCAGGCGGAATCCAAATTGAGCATCCATGACCAAGTTAATGCTGAGTCAACTTCACTTGAAAGCAATGCTGATGACACCTTCCACCATTTTATTGTTTACTGGAAGTGAAGTACTGGTAGTAAATACTGGTGGTCATGGGTCAGTTAGTTCAGTTAACTGATCAGTTGGTTTGCAATGTAGAATGACAAGGGTTCAATTCTTGTACTAGTTAAGCTAGCCATGAAGGTCCCTTATTCTCAACCTCTCCCCTCTCCTGAGGCATGGTGACCCTCAGATTAAAGCATCAGTTGCTTGTCACTATGGAGACTTTACTTTGTGAGGTGGTACTGACCCCACTCAAATTTGTTCTGCTGTTAAATTCAAAGACCTCTTTCCTTTTTTATGAGTTTTCATTCTCTCTTTTTCTAAGCTTTAAACATAACATCCATGAAGTTCAAATGTCATAATTTTTCTACACTACCTAATTTTTGTAGAATCTTAACATTTTGATTCCACAGTCTTTGTTTTCTCTCATAAAATAAAAAATTACAAGTTTATTGGCATCTATTTATTATTTCATGAATTATCTCATCCCCTCAATTCTTTTCAACCATAGCTTTCCATTCACCTCATTTATATATTTTTAAAAATTTGCTGTTAGAATTGATGGAATTATTGTGCTCCATGCCTGTTGATTGTAAAAGTGATGGTGAAAGGTTCGTGCAGTAGCAACTTGGTTCATTCTGCTGTGCAAGAATCAGTTGGTAGCACTCTCACCTTTTCAGTCCGAAAGTAGAAAATTCAAACCCCTCTACAGGAGTGAAGCATATATAACTTGATTCACTTACAATATGTGATTCCACTGTTGTGCTGTGTGCCACCTCTGTCAGAGGTGCTATCTTTCAAATGGGTGATACTTTGTCCACCAGGCCTACGCTATCTCTTTGGCAGAACTATCCAGTAATCCTAGTTCCCTTCTTTATTCCCCATAGCCTTCCATTTTGTTTGATTTCCCTTCAGATATTTAATCAATTCTCTTTCGATTTTTGTTATTGATTCAGCATCCACCACCCTTTTTGGAAGCCCATCCCAGCTCTAAGCAACTGTGCAAGAAAGGCCTCCTCATGTCACCTCTGATTCTTCTGAATCACCTCAAACCCGTCTTGAGGTTTCTAACATTGGAAGTAGTTGCTTCTTATCAAAAATCATTCACAAATTTGAACACATCTATCCAATCTACTCTTAATCACATGTCTGCGAAGGAGTCATACAAGCTGTGAACTTTTGAGACTGTTTGAGTGAGTTGTGCTTGCTAGGAGTACTGATGAGAGGATGAGGGAAATAAATCAGTGTCCAGTTTTGGTGTTGCAGAACTTTTAGCCATTGATTTTTCACACTACGATAATTATATTGTAGATGTTGCAGCTGAATTCAAGTCCCAATTTGTGTGAGAGTAGAATCTCACCACAGTATTTTGCTGTCTACTTCAAAACTAAACCAGGAGCTTTCTTTAGAACTATTTCTTCATTATTTACAGGATATAATTAAGAAAAGTTTTAGAATTAATACCATATTTTCTCACCAAGAGCAGTTAGAACAGATGCAGACCAAAACAGCTCTCCCATAACTGCAGGGATAAACATCAGGCTACCGATCCCTCCACCATAGTTTTCCTGAAAGGGGTCCAACATAGTCACATACCTTCTTGAACGCATTGTTTTAGCGAAAAACAAACCGCCTGTAAAAATGTTATTAAAGGACCAGTTTGTTACATACAATTCCTTCATTTGTAATGGTAATTACTGGCAGTACTATATTGTAAAAATATTTGTGATGCAAACTGTTATGAAATAAACAAATTATTGTGTTATCTATGATATGACACTACTGGTAATGCTGCTAACACTTGGATATAACCTGAGGAAAGCAAATTAGGAAAATAAATTGTGGGAGAATACAAAAATTCTGCAAATGGATTATAGATAAGTTCAATGAATTTGCAAAAAGCCAGCAGGTGGAGTATAAGTTGGGACAATGTGAGGTGATCTTATAGAAACTTAAGTTTCTGAATGGGCTCATCAGGGTAGATACTGAGAAGATATTTTCCGTCATGAGAAATTGTGGAACTATGGGGCAGAATCTAAAAAATAAAGAGTCTCCCGTTTGGTGATTGATGAGGAGGAATTTCTTTTGAGAAGGTCATTAGTCTTTGAAATTATCTTCCACAGAGAAAAGTGTGGATTAGGTCATTGAATATATTCATAGCAAAATTGGACAGAATTTGATAAACAGGAGAGTTAAAAGGAGTCGGCAGAAACTTTGACTTAAGCTCATTGTTGTGTTGAATGGTAGATCAGATTAGCTGGGCTGAATGGACTATTTCTGTTCCTGCTCCTAAGAATTTTATGATGTGATGCCACAGCCATATTGAAAAATAAAATGATGTTCTATGGCTCTTTCAGGACTGATTAGCTGAAATTCCCTACATAAAACAGGAACGATTTCCCTTTGAGTTTGGAATGTTTTGGGTAGAAGGTGAGGAAGGACTTTTAAAACAAATATTATCCAATGTCCATTTCAATTAGAAAAGATTTAAGTTGAAATTTGGTATATGAGGCTTTAAATTGTCATGTGATGGTAAAATACCTCACATAGAAACTCATGCTTAAAATTAAATTGCTTCATATGAAAGTACGACATACTGCATTGTTGTTTTACTCAGTAACTTCATTCCTTTCTATGTGTCTCATTTTTCTAAGGGTCATTAAAATATAACCTTCGAATACCAGAAATGTTTTATGGCATCTAAAGGTCATAATGCTGCAAATGAATAAACACATTGTCAATAAAATATGTTGGAGAGGAAGCCTCATATTTTAAGATATTTGACTGACTTATCATAAATCATACAATTTATATGAAAATATTTCTTTCTGAAACTTCATTACAAAAGATTAAACTTACAGAACATACCTATTTTGGGAATGCCAATCAAGTCTAATTGAAACATTAGTCTTGGGGCTGTTTTTCAATTTCAATATCATCTTGAGCTAGTTGAGTTCTTTCACCCTTGTATTTGAGTAAACATTATCAATGTTATATTGGAATTGTTCTGTTGGAGCATGACCAGTTGAATTTAGATGCCAGAACTTGACACTTAAAGGAGTGAATTAGTAGGTTAGCCGGCAGCTAACCCGACCAATCTTCCAAAGGTGAAAAGCAAAGGAAGTTTAAACTTCAACTAACCTTTGCTTTTTGCCTAGCTGAAACAAAAGAGTGAACTTGGAGTAATCCATAATGCAAATGAAATATAAAAGGTGAGTACTCACATTGCTAGCTTTGTGCTGACTAATTTTACAATATTTAGTCAACAAGCTAATAAAATAACAATTATTATTAGAAGGGTATTGTGGCACAGTTTATTATGTACCAATAAAGAACGTTTCGAAATGGATACAATTTTACTAAAAAGCTTTTCTTTATTTGACCTTGCGATGTGGGAATCACATTGAGCCAGAGGAAATGATGGCGGTTTGCCTTTGGACTCACTGCAGCCCATGTAGTGTCTATATGCAGAGCTGTTAGGAAGGAATGCTCCCCAGGATTTTAACCTAATCATAAAGAAGGAATGAGGATATATTTTCAAGTCATGGTGGTGCTCATCATCAAAATAAAATGAAGTAATCCCATCTCTGCACATGGTGTCAGGCTATGACTGGGATTGTGCAAACAGCTGCCCACTGAGCAGGCTGCACACTGCCACGCTTGTCATTGGTAATAGTGCCGCTGGGCCAGGGATGTGTGGGTAGGAGTTAGCAAATTCACCTTTTGGATTTTACATACTCCACACTTTCAAACAGGGAGTGTATAGTAAAGTCAAGGAACATAGAGGAATCAAGCACCAACTTGGCACAGAGTTTTGCACAGAACTCAGATCCTATCCATAGTGATGGCCAACCTCCATGCAAGCATTTGTTGAGCCAGTTATGATGCAGTATCTGATGGTCAATGCCTCTGTGTCGCAATGGAAGCTAACAGAAATCCCTCAGTGTAGAAATGCTGCAGGGGAAGCTCAGACTATCAAGCAGCTTAGCTTGTTATCATAAATGCATAGAGAGCCACCATGATGTCTGAGGGTATCAGTGTCAGAGCAGTTCAGCATTTTATCCTCCAGCAAATTAAAACAATTGCTACAGAACCAACCTAGGGAATGGTAGTGGTTCTACCACACTGCCCTAGTTGTTGTTTCCCAGTCATCTAACATAATACGCCGCTGCTAAGGCAAACATGGGACAAGGTGTAGCTGGGTCTCCTACGCTCAGGGTTAGTCAAGGTTGTCTGGGAAGGTCACATGCAGGCTACCCCCGTGATTGGCAACCCACCACCCCTGCAGCCATTGGGATAGCATGGCTAGGAACACTAGAACAGGCGAACACACCCAGTAAACATAGAGTCATAGAGTCAAAGAGATGTACAGCAAGGAAGCAGACTCTTCAGTCCGACTCGTCCATGCTGATCAGATATCGTAAATTAATCCAGTCCCATTTTCCAGTATTTGGCCCATATCCCACTAAACCCTTCCTATTCATATACCTTTCAAATGTTGTAATTTTACCCGCCTCTACCACTTCGTCTGGCAGCTTATTCCATACTAGCATTGCCCTCTGCATGAAAAGGTTGCCCCTCAGGTCCCTTTTAAATCTTTCCTCTCTCATCTTAAATCCATGTCCTTTAGTTTTGGATGCCCCCAGCCTAGGGAAAAGACCTTGTCTATTTACCCTATCCATGCCCCTCATGGTTTTATAAACCTCTACAAGGTCTTTGCTCAACCTTCGCCGCTCCAGGGAAAGTAGCTGCAACCTATTCAGCGTGTTCCTTTAGCTCAAACCCTCCATGTACTAAGGCAATGCATAAAGAATAAATAGATGGCTTTTATGAAATAAAAATGTCTGGTTTGTTTAATAAAAGCAGGTTGGATTTGTTGTTTAGCAGTGCCTTTTGTTTCAATATTGTGGCCGAGTGCACTTAATGCTGACTCACTATAGAGGGAAGGTAATGTGTGGGAGTGTTGAAAGGGGAATTAGTACCAGAGTATCATTAATTAATCATGGACTCGTGGGCCGTCCAGCTAGAAAGAAGATTGCTGGTTTTCTCCTCATGTATCTCAAATATGCTCACAAATGTGCACCAGATTCATAAGCCAGGTAGTTAGTGAATAGCCTACATTGTCCAAGGGCCGTGCACTGATTTGACATAGTGAACGAAATAGTCACAGTGAATACAACTGCTGCCAGAATCCTAATGATCATAGAGGAGTTGCAAGTTGAAGGAATGGAACATTTTGTGGATTTCGTATGTCTTTGCACTTGGATGCAGTGTCCAAAAAGCTATGTGTGTGCACCAATGTCACTCTACACTGTAGGAAAGCCCTCTGTCTTGGGGTGAAGTCTGAATCTGTTTGGTCAGCAAGAACATAGTGTCCTCCCTTCTCTTGGTATGAAAAAGGGCCATCAGCTCCTTTATTTAGAACTGAACACACATACAAGGAACAAGAGTAGGCCTCTTAGCACTTCAAGCCTGCTCCATCATTCAGTAAGATCATGGTTAATCTGATTTTAATATCAAATGTACATTCCTGCAAACCCCAATGATCTTTCATCCCCTTGGTAATCAAGAACCTATCTGCCTCTGCCTTAAAAATATTTAAAGATTCTGCCTTTTGAGGAAGGGAGTTTCAAAACTCTCAACCCTTAGTCCTTTTTCCTCATCTGTTTTAAATGTGTAACCCCTTATTTTTCTAATGTGACCCATTTAGATTCTTCAATAGAAGACTGGAGGTTGGCTAATTTGCCATTATTTAAGAAAGGCTGTAAGGAAAAGCCAGGCAACTATATATCTAAGATCCTGATGTGAGTGGTGGATAAATTGTTGGAGGGGATTCTGATAGACAGGATTTACACGCATTTGGAAAGGCAAGGACTGATTAGGCATAGTTAGCATGGCTTTGTGTGTGGAAAATTGTGTCTCACAAACTTGATTGAGATTTTTGAAGAGGAAACAAATAAGATCGATAAAGGCACAATGATAGGCGTTGTCTATATGGATTTCAGCAAGGCATTCAACAAGGTTCCACATAGTAGACTGGGCAGTAAGGTTAGATTACCTGGGATCCAGGGAGAGCTAGCCAATTGCTCACAAAACTGGCTTGACAACAGGAGACAGAGAGTAGTGGTAGAGGGCTGCTTTTCCAACTGGAGGCCTGTGACCAGCGGCATGCCACAAGAATCAGTGCTGGATCCACTGCTTTTCATCATCTATATAAATGACTTGAAAGTTTTTGAGAAGATTCATGGCTGGGGCTGTGGATGAGGTTGTAGACTTGCTCGCTGAGCCGGTGTGTTTGATTGCAGATGTTTCGTCACCCTGCTAGGTAACATCATCAGTGCACTTCCGGTGAAGTATTGGTATTCTGTCCCGTTTGTTATTTATATGCCTCGGTTTTCTGGGGTGGTTGGCATCATTTCGAGTTTTGTTTTTCAGTGGTTTGTGTATCACATCCATGTCAATGAGTGTGTTGACGGAGTTCCGGTTGGAATGCCAGGCCTCCAGGAATTCCCTGGTATGTCTCTGGCTTGTGCTATTATGGATGTGTTGTCCCAGTCGAATTTGTGTCCTTCTTTGTCCGTGTGTATTGAGACCAGTAAGAATTGGCCGTGTCTCTTGGTGACTAGTTGGTGT